CAATCAGTTTCGATGTTCTTTAATCCTTTCGGATAGCGAAAGCAGCAACAACAAAGCGTGTCTCCAACGTTCCTGATCAGATGCAAGTGTCTGAACTTCGGCAGAAAATATCCCAAGTCTAGTCCTTCAGTCCTTCAAGATATCTGATTTTAGCCATTCAACCCAGCAGGTTGAATAAGTAACGCCTTTCTTTCTGGAATCATTTACAACACGTTTCCAAATTTCACCCCAGTTGTGACCGTTCTGTCTGCAGGAACAACGGCTGATGGTTCGAACAAGAGATAAAACGCCAGGAAAACATTGCATAACAACTGCTTGCTGAGTAAACGCTTGAAAAACCATCGCGACGAAAAATTTAGCGGTGGCATAAAAAATTAAAGTTGAACAATACCATCGCAACTGTATATTTACTCATGAACAAAAATTCTGGGCAGCCAAAATGGCTCTGCAAAAACGTCAAGGACAGCGATGTACAAGAAAAAGAGCGATTAGACACGGGCAGTAGTATAACCTAGTCGACCTAGTTGACTCAATGCCTCATGTGTTATCTACAACGTACACATGGACATTCGATACACGTGATGAATGTTAACCATGATACCTCAATGACGACACCGCCTGAATTAACCACGGCACGCTCCAGGTAGTCACGACAGTTCATCTTACACCATTGAACTTATGTGAAACTGGGTGCCGTACATGCAAACAATGCAGATCGAGTTAATGTGTCCGCATTCTTCAGTCCTTTCGATGTCATGTCAATCCTAACGAGATCTTAAAAGCCAGTTGAAATCTTCATGGCGGAAATGTGCCATAGGTTCGTGTTCCGTCTTCGCTTCGTAAGGAGGATATCATCTTTTCGCTGGCAATGGCCTCATAATCTGAAACGCCTTGGTCGCAGCCATAAGAAATCATCGATACTCACAAGTTTGACAAACCGTGAAAATATGCTAGAGAAACGTTTCGCTGTGCAACAGGGGCAGTGAGGGAGGCTTAAACTAAACTACGGATGCAGACAGAGATCTGTCAACCACATACAAGCGAACCTAAGGGCGGTCTGCATAAAAACAACTACACTAAGACATCATGTACGACGTTAACAGCCACTGTTGAATCAATCAATTCTAAGGAGTCATTTGGAATTTCGTGCTCGATACATAGTTTGGCAGAACACATAGTTTATTCGGCAGAGCACCAGAGTGTTGCTTGAAAGATGATGATTTTGAAGCACAGCACGTCATCTGCCATCCATACAACAAGCATTAAACGGGATAGAAACTGGAGACTTCGCGAATCAACGATCACTAAGCTAGAAACTGTTTTCAAAGATATAAAGCACACCTGAATATCAGCCATACAACTAAGATCAACTCTGAACTATCAGCTCTACAGTGGCATGGCACAGTGCGAAAGAGGTCGACTTCAAACTTACAAACTCCAGAGTTGCCGAGTTGGACTCCCGTCGAGGACAGTCGCTATCTTTACAATAAACACCCTTGAGTACGGAATTTAAATCGCATTCGATCATACCGCGGTTAATCCTCGGCAGAGCGCTAACCTTGAGAAAGCGGAGAGAAAATTTTTTCGAGCCCCAGTAAAGGAAATTCGCCATTTTTTTCTGAGGTTGATTAATAAGAACTGAATACCGTATCGGTTATGCCTTTAAAAATAGAGCATTTCTGGCTGATGACATGAAAGTGGAGATCAGCGGCGAAACCACCAATAACTGCAGGAAAACAACAGTGCGAGAACTGACCCTGACATTAAGTTGTAAGGAAGCCGACGTTCCAACCGTTACAAATTTTTCTTTCCATTATCAGCCCTACGAACAGTAAAACAAAAAGTGCTGTCATTGAAGTACTACGTAGAATGACATTCGGACGGCTAAAGTTTCTTTTCTATTTCATGTTTTTATACTTGAAGATCAGATTCGAACTCTCTTACAGAAGAGACAAACAGCAACTGGATAAAAAATAGGAAGATAAGAAATCTCAAATTATAGCACAGCCAGAATTACTTCTTCAGCTGTGCTGAACTCAGGTCCAAATGGACGGGATCGTCCATCCAGTCGGTCTCTGGAGAGAGAATCGACGATATGTCCATTTCTTGAAGTTCTCGACCGGAACTGACCACAATCCATCCATAGCGACTCTGAACAAAGAGCGGAAGCGGACGAAGATCAGCGGATGACGTAAGTAAAACGACACTTACCTGATTGACGGCGAAACAGTTGATCGGGTCCTGCTCGCGCTGTACGATCTTCCGCGGTTCCTTGCTGAGCAAAGGGACAGAGGTTTCGTGTTCAGATCCAGTCTGAAAAACGACGTTACTGGCTATGAAGTTACCATCACTACGGTAACAGTAATGTACCTTGGTTCGCTTTGGCTTGAAGATGTAGCGGATGAACACATCCATCAAGTGCTCCTGCCGAACCAAGTACAGCCATAGGCGACGCACCGGCAGTGCGTTCTTATCCAATGAGTTGAACGGCGTGTTGCCCGGTTCTAAGATGCAGCGATACTTGCACAGCGACGGTCCCCCGGCATTGGTGGATAGAGTGCCGGTGTACCGCAAGAAGTTCTCGGGACACCCGCCTGGAAACCGATCCAATTCAGCCGTAATCGAGTACATCCACTCTTCCAGTGTCAATAGGGAACAACGAATCAAAGGACTTTGCGTGCCGATTTCTGAAACGAAAAACGAGCAATATACTAATAGCAGATGGTGATGGAAGGAACAGATGGTGATAATCAAGAGAACCTTGTGCAAGTTATCCTCGAAATCATTAAAATTATCATCAAAATGTAACAAAATTCCTGTTCCAGCAAGCCAGTGGGACGTGGTAGTCAATGCTAGAGCACGGCCAGATGCCAGTTCCTCTGCAGGCATGTTCCTAAACGTCCTGAATGATGATCTGAGGCAGATTAATAGCATATGAGCCAATCACTTTACAGTCGATGCAAGAGTAACATTAGCTTCAATCTGTGACTTCTGATTCAGCCAGTGATCAGCAGGTCCAGTCAAATGGTCATGCCAGGGTATACGATACTAGTGGGGCCATACTCAGTGGTACGCATACTTTGACTGACTACGGTGCCAACCATGCACCTGCCGCTACCGTCAGGTCAGCATGATAAAAAAATTTTCCACTTATTTTCCTACTTGATTAATTATTAATTTATGCAACCACATTTTATTTCATGAATTTTTTGCTTTGAACATTAATAATTTTATTTTATAATTTGCACCTTTCAACAGTTCACAGTAAACCTGTCAGTTGCAGTGGCAGCAAATTTGAGCGGCTTTGTCATCGTTCATACTCTTCCGCCAACTGCGAAAGACACACGAAATGAATGTAATTTAAAAAGGAAGCTTCTCGTATCAGTTGACTCGTGAATTAAAGAATCAAAATAAAAACCTTAATGGCGAAAGAAAGTCAAGTCCAGGGAGTGACGAGACAGAAGTGTTTTTCTACCTGAGCTACAAAGTAATCATACCCATTGCTACTTGCAAATAATCTAACACGAATATCACTTATTATGAAAATAAAATTCCAGACGGTTATATAATTGGAAAGGAAGCTTGGGAGTGGTACAGTTAGCAAAGAAGAAACACCAACAGTTAAATTCACTGTCTAGTGGGCTATGGTAATTTCAGATT